GCCGCCGGAAGAGCGGCTCATCTGAACGCTGGGGCCTGCTGCAGTCACCAACATTGCCCAGGACTGCGGGGTGCTGGCTTGTACACTGCAGCTGCTGTCTCTTATACACATCTCGATTCTCCTGCCTCAGCCTGCTGAGTAGCTGAGATTACTGGTGCCTGCCACCTCACCTGGCTAATTTTTGTATTTTTAGTAAAGCCAAGAGTTTCACCATGTTGGCCAAGCTGATCTGGTCTCGAACTCCTGACGTTAGGTGATCCTCCCGCCTAGACGTCCCAAAGTGCTGGGATTACAGGCATGAGCCGCCGCACCTGGCCAGATGTTTTCTGTGTGTTCTTATATGTGAATGCCTGTACAGGTTTGATTCCACACAGGTGTTAACCGTACAGGTGTTTTATCTTTTTAAAATTTTTTTAGAGACAGGGTCTCACTTTGTCACCCAGGCTGGAGTACAGTGGTACAATCATAGCTCACTCACTGTAACCTCCACTCCTGGGCTCAATCCATCCTCCCACCTCAGCCTCCCAAGTAGGTGGGACTACAGGTGGGTGCCATCACATCCGGCTAATTTTCTTATTGTTTTGTAAAGATGGGGCTCCCTATGTGGGCCAGGTGGATCTGGATCTCCTGGCCTCAAGTGATTCTCTTGCTTTGGTCTTTCAAAGCGCTGGGATTACAGGATCACGCCAGAGCCCCGGGCTTATTTTCTTCTTCTTCTTCTTCTTCTTTTTTTTTTTTTTTTTTGGTAGAGAATCAGGCCTCGCTGTGTTGCCCAGGCTGGTCTCGGACTCCTGGCATCAAGCGATCCTCTTGCCTCACCCTCTCAAAGTGTTGGGATTACAGGCGTGAGCCATTGTGCCTGGGCGGGTGTTTTTTCTCATTGAGCGCTCCCCATCCAAGTCTGCCCTAGGCAGGAGTGCCTCGTGCACGGGTACATACATACCCCGTGCGTCTCCACACCTGTGCGCTCCTACACATGGCTCGCAATGCAGGTGTGAGGGTCCCGTTACAGGTGCGCCCGCAGCGCGGCCCCGCCCCCCTCTTGGCTCCGCCCTCTTATCGAGGCTCAGGTGCACAAGCCGGAAGTGCGCTCTCCTCCCAGGTGAGTGACTAAACTTTCCGGGTCACGTGAGCGGGCGGAGCCGGTGGGATCGGACCCAAAGACCGACCGACGGACCGAGGGTTCGAGGGAGGGGCACGGACCAGGAACCTGAGCTAGGTCAAAGACGCCCGGGCCAGGTAGGAAAGCAGGACGCACCGCTAGGCCTGCGCCCTCGCCCGTCCACCCTACCCGTCCCGTCGCCTTCCTTTCCCCAGCCCAGGAACGCGCTCCCAGGAGTTAATCTTTAATCGCTGACCTCTGGCGGCTGGGGCGGGGCGGGACTCATGGGTGCCCTGGCGCCAGTTGTTTCTCCTGTGGGCCTGCGCCCGGGTCCAGACCCCGATCCCAATGCCCGGGCCTCTCTCCTTCTCCTGCCCCCAGGTGCCCCGTCGCAGGTGCCCCTGGCCGGAGATGCGGTAGGAGGGGCGCGCGCGAGAAGCCCCTTCCTCGGCGCTGCCAACCCGCCACCCAGCCCATGGCGAACCCCGGGCTGGGGCTGCTCCTGGTGCTGGGCCTGCCGTTCCTGCTGGCCCGCTGGGGCCGAGTCTGGGGGCTAAGTAGGTACCAGCTGAGAGCTCTGGGGGGAGGGGTCCGGATTCCTGGATCTCTGCTGGGGACGTGGCTTAGAAGCGCTGGGTATCTGGGGCACAGAGAGGGTCAAGAATTGGGAAGCGGGCAAGAAATACCTTGGGGAGGGGTCTACAGGGTTAGGGCTCCGGGAGATTAAGATTTCTAGTTTCTTCCTTGGACCCTGGGAGGTGGTCTAGGAGACCTGAGTTCCTGAGCCAGGTGGAATTGTGTGTTGGAGTGGGGGCTCCTAAGTAGAACTTGGTGGGAGGTAAGGGCTGTGTACCTGAGTCCTGGCATAGTGCAGGTGTTTTGGGTGAACTGGGAGCTGGGAGGAGGCCTACCGAGCCCGGTCGACCCGGTTGGCTGAAGGTGTAGACCCCAGCCATTCAGTCTTAGATTTGTTTGGGGAGCCTGGGGGGAGGTGTGAGTCAGACACTCCAGGGAAATCTAGGCCCGCCCAGATCCTTAAGGGCCCAGGGCCGGGTGGTGAGTGGGGGAGGGTTGGACTTCCGGACACCCTACTGGGCTCTGCTGGGCTGGGTGGGGGGGTGTCTGGAGGAGCAAACACCTGAGGGACAGGTCCTGCCTGCAAGTCGCCCACTGTCTCTGTGCGAATGAAAGGCAGAGTTTGAATTGGGACTTGCTGGGAGGAGGTGAAGGGGAATGACCAAAGCAGGTGCCCAAGGGTGGGGATGGGAGAGAAAGATGGAGACTGATTTATTCTCTGCCTTCAGCCTCCACAGTATTGACCTCTTCTGCACATGACAGTAGCACTGTTGTGCCTTCACCCACCAGCCCCAGCTCCAGCTCCAATGGCAACTTGGTGAGTTGGAGGTATATGTGGGAAGATGGCAGCAAGGATGTTATCCAGGGGCCACACATACAGCATGTAGAGAGGACTAGACACCCCCTTCCCCCAGAGGTGGCAGGTCAGGGTGGCTTTGGAGAGCTCTAAGTGGGAGCGACCTGAAGTCTTAGACCAGGAAGACTAGGAGACCCTAGAGGGAGTGGGCAGGAACACTGTAGCTGTCAGATGTGGGGGCTCAGGAACTCCACATGCCTCTCAGGTGGGTGGGGAAGCAAGGAGCTCAGACTTGGTAGATATGATGAAAGCAGGAGTCCCGGCTGGGCGCGGTGGCTCACACATGTAATCCTAGCATCTTGGGAGGCTGAGGCAGGCAGATTATGAGGTCAGGAGTTTGAGACCAGCCTGGCCAACATGGTGAAACCCCATCTCTACTAAAAATACAAAAAATTAGCCAGGCAGGGTGGCACACGTGTGTAATCCCAGCTACTCGGGAGGCTGAGGCAGGGATAATCACTTGAGCCCAGGAGGCGGAGGTTGCAGGAAGCCGAGATCGTGACACTGCACTCCAGCCTGGGTGACAGAGCAAGACTCTGTCTCAAAAAAAAAAAGCCCAAGTCGCAGACATGGCAGGTGCTTGCGAGGGGTGTCCCAGACACGGCAGGTGGTGGGGAGCCGTAGCACCCCAGATAAGGTAGGTAGGGATCCAGGAAGCCCCAGTGTGGGGATCAGATCACCAAAAGTGGCAGATATGTGTGTGTGTTGTGGGTTGGGGGTTCATGAGGGGGGTGCAATTCAGGTGGAGGTGAACAGGCTACCCAGGCTCAGGTGATTCACCCCTGTCCCCTCTCTGAAGTCTCAGGGGGCCATCACTGCTATCATTGTGGTCTTCTCCATCCTGGCCATCTTGCTCCTGGCTGTGGGGCTGGCACTGTTGGTGTGGAAGCTTCGGGAGAAGCGGCAGACGGAGGGCACCTACCGGCCCAGCAGCGAGGAGCAGGTGGGTGCCCGTGTGCCACCGACCCCCAACCTCAAGTTGCCGCCGGAAGAGCGGCTCATCTGAACGCTGGGGCCTGCTGCAGTCACCAACATTGCCCAGGACTGCGGGGTGCTGGCTTGTACACTGCAGCCGCCGCCGAGACACCAGCCTCTGATGGCTCAGGAGGACTTGTGGGGAGAGGCTGGGGGCACCCACCTGGTGGGCTCTGTGCAGCATGTTGCCTCTGCTTGGCTGTGCCTGAAGCTCAGGGTGCTGGGGCTCGGGACCCACCTCCCCGCTTGCGGAACCAACTTTTCTCTGTGTGTCCTGCAGGCTCCACAGCCCCTTCTCCTTTCTTTCAGTTCTCCCATGCAACCGAGGCTCGGGCCCCTCAGGACTCCAAGGAGACGGTGCGGGGCTGCCTGCCCATCTAGGTCCCCTCTCCTGCATCTGTCTCCCTTCATTGCTGTATGACCTTGGGGAAAGGCAGTGCCCTCTCTGGGCAGTCAGATCCACCCAGTGCTTAAGAATAGCAGGGAAGAAGGTACTTCAAGACTCTGCCCCTGAGGTCAGGAGAGGATGGGGCTATTCACTTTTATATATGTATATAAAATTAGAAGTAAGATGTAATAAAAGCTTTATTGGTGTGTTTGAGCTGGTGGGAGCATTAGCTGAGATGGAGGTGACGCATGCCCAGAGGAACTGTAAGGTTGCCGGGATTCTAGAGGACCAGGAGGCTTCCTGGAATTCCCCGCTACGACTCAGTTAGAGAGGCTGCCCTTGGAGGGACAGAGGTGGGTGGGATGGATTTCTGAGCAGAATGAGGGCACCAGAGAAATTCACCAGGAAAAAACCAGCTTTGGGCTCTTGTGGCTTTACTGAGGGACTGGGGTCTCTCCTGGACCCCTGATTCTTAACCCTCAAAGCACTTCTTAAGATCAGCGACTCTGGGCCGGCTGCTGGGCTGGAGCTTTTGCCAGTTGCTGGTGGGTGTAGCAGGGGAATTCGGGGCTCCTGGTTCCTCGAGTGGCTGGAGGTGAGCGTGCTCTGCTAGCAGGGCCTTGGGAGACTGGGCTCTGGGGTCCTCCAGAGAACTGGGGTCTGAGGAAGGATCGAGGGGCTGGGACGTCCAGGCTATATCAAAGTTGGGCTTTGTGGGGGCCAGAATTTGGGGGCTTTCTGGAGGGCTGGGCTCAGTGGGTGCAGTGGAGAGCCAGGAAGCAGAGTTTTCCTGGGTTCTAGAATCTTCAGCTGCCTTGTGGGAAGGGGCGAGATGAAGAATTAGGGGCTCTGTGAGAGGAGAGGGTTCGGGGTCCCCTCGGCTGCTTGGGTCTGCAGAAGCTGTTGAGGACTGGGATGGAGAGATGATTTCTTGGTCGGACTCTGAGGGTATTAGCTGGGACCTGGGGTCCTTTGAAGAGCTGGTGGCATCCAAAGACGAGGTGCTTTGCAGGGATGGCAGGGACAGGGGCTGGCGCTCTGGCTCTGGTAGTTTCTGATCGTCTGGTTGCCATCTTGGTATGTTAGGCTAGGTGGGATGGATAGGGAAGTTGTGGCTTTTAGATGGCAGAGGGGCTGGCAAGTTGGATGGACCATTAGGGGAAGACTTGGGGGGGGGGGTTGGGGGAGTGGGCAAGGCTCTCACCAGGCTGAAGCAGCTGTCCAGGTCTCCTCTGTGACAGCAGTCTAAACTCTGGCTCGGTCTCAGGCTGCCTGCACTCTTGGCTCCCACGCTAAGACTGTCCAGAATCTCGCTCAACAAATCCAGTTCTTCTCCAGACCCTAAGAAGCTGCTGTCCAGAGCTTCTTCTGCCCATGGGCACCCCTCATCCTCAGGACTCAGAGGGGGTGTCCTGGGTGAGGATGGGCAGCCTCAGATATTTGCCCGAGACCCCCCAGCCCTGGTCAGGCTGCTCTGGAGTTTGGGGACCCTCTTCCCCATCAGTCCTGGCCTCCCACTTTCAACACCGCTGTTCCCTTTTAGCCTTACCCCACCCCTGGGGGCTCGGAAGGTCCCTCTTCCAGCCGGCGTCTCCTGCTGGGGCGAAGGGGCCGGTTCTGCAAAGGGTGGGGGTGATAGGACCTCAGGAGACTGCAGAATCAGGGGGCTGAGGCTTGCTAAAGGAGGGTGAGTGTGAAGTGGGTGCCACATATTAGGGAAGCTGAAGAAGGAGGTGAGATGTCTGGATGGGGACTGGGATGGGTGGAGGATTCAGTGATAATTCCAGGTGTGTGCATGGCGGGAGGGGGCGCTCTTACCTGTCCAAAGTGCCGAGTGATTGGGAGGCGTTGCTGCAGGCGGTCTGAGCGGCTGGTAAGGGCTGGGGCCCTCAGAGAGCCCCCCCTCTGCAGGATAGAGTCCCCATCCTAGGAAGAGAATGCATGAACTGGGAACCTCTGCCACGAAGTCTCTCCATCACCCCCTACCATTGGTCTTTAGTTAGTCTTTTTTTTTTTTTTTTTTTTAAATGAAGCTTCACTCGTGTTGCCCAGGGTGGAGTGCATGGTGCAATCTTGGCTCACTGCAACCTCTGCCTCCCGGGTTCAAGCGATTCTCGTGCCTCAGTTTCCCAAGTAGCTGGAATTACAGGCATACGCCACCATGCCCAGCTAATTCTGTATTTTTAGTAGAGATGGGGTTTCACCATGTTGGTCAGGCTGGTCTCAAACTGCTGATCTCAAGTGATCCACCTGCCTCGGCCTCCCAAAGTGGTGGGATTACAGGCGTGAGCCACCGCGCCCAGCCAGTCGTCGTCGTCGTCTTTTTTTTTTTTTTTTTTGAGACAGAGTCTCCCTCTATCACCCAGGCTGGAGTGCAGTGGCACGATCCCGGTTCACTGCCCTCTACCTCCTGGGTTCCAGCAATACTCGTGCCTCAGCTTCCCAAGTAGCTAGGATTACAGGTGCCCACCACCACGGCCGGCTAATTTTTGTATTTTTTTTTTAGTAGAGACAGGATTTCTCTATGTTGGCCAGGCTGGTCTCAAACTCCTCACCTCTAGTGATCGGCCCTCCTTGGCCTCCCAAAGTGCTGGGGTTACAGGAGTGAGCCACCGCGCCCGGCCACAGTCTTCTTTTTTTTGAGACAGGGTCTCTCTCTGTCACCCAGTCTGGTGTGCAGTGGTGCTATCTCAGCTTACTGCAACCTCTGCCTTCTGGACTCAAGCAGTCCATACTCAGCTAATTTTTAAATGTTTTTTTTGTAGAGACAAGGTCCCACTATATTACCCAAGCTGGTCTCAAACTCCTGGACTCAAGCGGTCCTCCTGCCTCGGCCTCCCAAAGTGCCAGGATTACAGGGGTGAGCCACTGCACCCGGCTGTTGGTCTTACCTTATACATTAGAAGGCTCTGCACCCCCTTCAAGCCACTCTTGGCCTATAAAGCAGTGGAGAGAGAATTACCCGAGGGTGGTGGGATCCTGGGCATTTGAGAGCTCAGCCTTCTGTCCCCTAAGATAGCTTTATTTTGCCATCTGCGTGTCTCAAATATGTTCACCACCCGCCATACACCACCTAAGAAGTCAATGCAAACTTTCACCCCTTTGACTAATATAAAATTAGTATTCCCTGAGGAAGGCATCCCCAAATAAAATGGGGAATGGTGAAGCAACAGGGCAAGGTGTTCCTGTCTCAAAGCTGTGAAGAATAACATCGCATGGACAATTTTGAGCTGCAAGAACTGGCCCCAGGAAACTTCTGAGCTTGGGAGAAAAAAGGCAGAACCTGGAATTGTGGCATCCAAGGACAAAGAATGTTTGTCGGTGAATCTTGGCTGTCAATTTTACAGGGGGGTGGGGGGTAGGATTCCAACAAAAATGAGTATAGTAAATAAAAAAATAAAAGGGGGAAGAGCTGTTAAGGGTTTAACTGCTGGTTCAGTTCTGATTAAATCATTTGTGTTTAAAGTGTCTGCCAGGGTCAAAATACTCCATCCTTGGGAGGTCAAAGTGTCCTCTGTCCCCTCCCCCTCATCACCCCAGCGAGAGTGGCCTGTCCAGCTCAGCCTCACCGAGCGGTACATGTTCTTGACTGCTGGTTGGGTCTTGGCCTTGACTGAGTGCAGGAGGGCACCACCGCCTTTCTGCAGGAGAGGAAACACCAAGAGGGAGGGGCTAGAGCCAGATCCCACCTCCCCATCCCAGGTTGTGTGATGCTGATCAAGCCCCTTTCCCTCTCTGAATCTCCATTTTTTCACCTCTATAAATGAACACGATCGTAGTCATGACCCTACCTGCTGACTGTTGTGGAATTAAATTAATTCACTGAGACACACTTAAGTGTTTTTTGTTTGTTTGTTTTTGTTTCTTGAGATGGAGTCTCAAAGAACAGAGGTTTTTTTTGTTTGTTTGTTTTTGCTGAAATGCAGTCTCACTCTGTCACCCAGGCTGGAGTGCAGTGGCGCCATCTCGGCTCACTGCAACCTCCGCGTCCCGGGTTCAAGCGATTCTTCTGCCTCCACTTCCCGAGTAGCTGGGACTACAGTCGCCTGCCACCATGCCCGGCTAATTTTTGTAATTTTAGTAGAGATAGCATTTCACTATGTTGGCCAGGATGGTCTCGATCTCCTGACCTTGTGATCTGCCTGCGTCAGCCTCAAACTCCTGACCTCAGGCAATTCGCCTGCCTCGGCCTCCCAAAGTGCTGGGATCACAGGCGCGAGCCACCGTGCCCAGCCAACAAGCGGTTTTTGAGACAGGGTCTTGCTCTGTCACCCAGGCTGGAGTGCAGTGGCACAATCTCGGCTCACTACAACCTCCACCTCCTGGGGCTCAAGCCATCCTTCCACCTTAGCCTCCCGAGTAGCTGGGACTACAGCCACATCTAGCTAATTTTTTTTTTTTTTTTTTTTTTAATTTAGTAGAGATGGGGTTTCGCCGTGTTGTCCTGGCTGGTCTCAAACTTCTGGTCTCAGCAATCCTGTCTCCGCCTCCCAATGTGTTGGGTTTACAGGCCTAAGCCAAGGCCTATTGTTTTGGTGGTCTTACCTTTAGATTGTCTGCCCAGAGCTGATAGGATCGAATGGTCCCTGGGGTAAGGAGAGAGTGTGGTGGTCACCAAAGGCTGGCTGAGGCAGGGGGTGCTGGTGGGTGGGGGGGGACCTGGGGGCTGGACTCAGGGCTCACCTGAGGAGGCCCCGCAGCCGGTGATCTCCTGCTCGAATTGATCTGAGAAGCCCTCCCCATTGTTGAGCTTCTCCAGTCGGGCTTCGATGAACTGGGGTGGGGACAGTAAATCAGAAGCAGCAGGAGACACATCTGAATGCCAGCACTTAGCAGCCCGCCTGCTATCAAGATGTAGAAGCCATCTCTGGCCTCCAACCTGCCCACCCCCAAGCACCTGGGAAACTGGAGCCCACTTTATTTTTTATTATTTTTTTTGAGATGAAGTCTCACTCTGTCACCCAGGCTGGAGTGCAGTGGCAAGATCTCAGCTCACTGCAAGCTCTGCCTCTCCGGTTTAAGTGATTCTCCTGCCTCAACCTCCCAAGTAACTGGGATTACAGGGGTGCACCACCATGCCCAGCTAACTTTTATATTGTTTGTAGAGACATGGTTTCCCCATGTTGGCCAGGCTGGTTTTGAACTCCTGACCTCAGGTGATCTGCCTGCCCTGGGCTCCCAAAGTGCTGAGATTATAGGCGTGAGCCACTGCCCCCAGACCAGAGCCCACTTTAGGAACCAGAGATCCCACCTTCTCCTCTCTCCCCAAGTCAGGACCTGTCCCCAGGGACCAAGCCCCGCCCCTTTCAGGGACCCAGAAATTGATTTCTGCCTCCTCTAGACCTACCCACCTGCTCTCAGTGAGCCAAGAGTAGGTTGACCCCATCTTTAGGGATCTTGTGGTCCAAGCTACCTTCTCCCAGGGGCCTAGAAGTCCAGTCCCACCTGCCACCCCTCCCCCCATATCCCTAGGACTCAGGAAATCCTGGGATTTCACAGTCAGGACCTGTCCCCTCTGGAGTCCAGCTCGGGCCACCACCCCAGTCCCAGAAAGTTACCTGCTTAGGGACCTGGGATTTGGTTCCACCCTGATTTCTCTCAGGGACCTAGGAGTAGGTCTTGTCCTCCAGGAACCCAGGAGTTGGGGGCTCCCATGTTTTTGTTTTGTTTTATTTGAGACAGAGTCTCGCTCTGTCATCCAGGCTGGAGTGCAGTGGCATGATCTCGGCTCACTGCAACCTCTGCCTCCCGGGTTCATGTGATTCTCCTGCCTCAGCCTCCTGAGCTGGAATTACAGGTGCACCCCATCACGCCCAGCTAATTTTTTAATTTTTAGTAGAGATGGGGTTTCACCATGTTGGTCAGGCTGGTCTCGAACTCCTGACCTTGTGATCCGCCTGCCTCGGCCTCCCAAAGTGCTGGGATTACAGGCATGAGCCACCGTGCCCGGCAGGGGGCTCCCATCTTTAGGAATCCAGGAGTTCAGTCCTTCCCCACTTGGGAACCCTGGAGTAGGGGATCCTGCTGGACCGTCTACAGCGATACCCTCAGGGACCCAGGAGTCTGCCCTCAACCCTGCCAGTTCAGACAAGCCCTCGGGGTCTCAGCAGTCCACCTCCAGCCCCAGCTGGACCCTCAGGGCTCTGGCATACCTGTTTGAACAGCTGCAGGTGCACAGCCCGCCGGTGGAAGGCCTGCAGAGGTGCCCCAGGCTTCTGGGCCAAGAAGGCTTCCTCACTGAAGGTCACTGGCTGGCCCTGGAAGAAGTGTTGGAGTTCTGAGCTCCCTGGGGTGTTCCTGGCCCTCCCTCATTCTACTATATATTTAGGTAGCAAACACTGATTAGCCACCTGCTGTGTCTGACCCTGTGTGGGGCCTCGTGGATGGCAGGGAGGACTTAAGCTGTTTTGTTGTTGTTGTTGTTTGTTTTGTTTGTTTGTTTTTGTTTTTTGAGACAGAGTCTCACTCTCTCGCCTGGCTGGGATGCAGTGGTGCAATCTCAGCTCACTGCAACCTCCGCCTCCAGGGTTCAAGCGATTCTCCTGCCTCAGCCTCCTGAGTAGCTGGGACTACAGGCACGTGCCACCACTCCCAGCTAATTTTTGTATTTTTAGTCGAGATGAGGTTTCACCATGTTGGCCAGGATGGTCTCGATCTCTAGACCTCGTGATCCACCCGCCTCAGCCTCCCAAAGTGCTGAGATTACAGGTGTGAGCCACCGCACCCGGCCGTGTTTTGTTTTGTTTTTTTTTTCATTTCTTTTTTTGAGTCAGGGTCTCACTCTGTCACCCACGCTGGAGTGCAGTGGTGTGATCTTGGTTCACTGCAACCTCTACCTCCTGAGCTCAAGCGATCCTCCCACCTCAGCCTCTCAAGTCGCTGGGACTATAGGTGCATGCCACTATGCCCGCCTAATTTTTGCAGTTTTTGTAGAGACGGGGTCTCACTATGTTTCCCACGCTGATCCGAACTCCTGGGCTCAAGCAATCCACCCACCTTGGCCTCTCAAAGTGCAGGGATTACAGGGTGAGTCACCCACCCGGCTGATTTAAGTGTTTATCTTGAGTAAGGTGGAAGACCTGCAGGGCTGTGGGCAGGGGAGGGAAATGATCTGACTCAGGTGTTCACAGGTGACCTCTGGTCACTGCGGGGAGGACAGACTCTGGGAGATAAAGCAGAAACCTGCTTGCAGGGGGCCGGGCGCAGTGGATCACACCTGTAATTCCAGCACTCTGGGAGGACGAGGTGGGTGGGTCACCTGAGGTCTGGAGTTTTGAGACCAGCCTGGCTAACGTGGTGAAACCCCATCTGTACTAAAAATACAAAAATTAGCCAGTGTGGTGGCGCATGCCTGTAATCTCAGCTATTCGGGAGGCTGAGGCAGGAGAATTGCTTGAACCTGGGAGGCGGAGGTTGCAGTGAGCTGAGATTGTGCCACTGCACTCCAGCCTGGGCAAGAGAGCAAGACTCTCTCTCAAAAAAAAAAAGAAAGAAAGAAGAAGGCTGCTTGTGGAGGAGTCCCAGGGGAGAGATCAGTGCATTAATTTTAGGCAAACAACGACAGGGTCCAGACCAGGGCGGAGACAGAGGAAGTGGGTGGTCTGTGTGCAGATTTGGGATGCAGCGATGACAAGAACGTCAGATGCTCAAGTGATACTGGACCCCCCGCCCCGCCCCAGCGATTTTATAGCTTGGTTGTGCAAAACAGGGGAGGGCGCTTCAGAGATTGAGGCCCTGGCTTCAACATTCACCCACTATGGGACTTCTCCAAAGCCTTGGTTTCCTCATATGGAAAATGGGACTATTGCAGTATCCATCTCAAAATGTCATGAGCATTAAATGAGATAATAGCAGCAGTAGGAGCTAGCATTTATTGAGTGCTTGCTGTATGCCAGGTACGATTCAAAGTGCTGGGAAGATGCTGATTCACTGATTCTAATATCCTTTTGGGTGGTACTATCGGGGTCCCATTTTACAGAGGGGCAAACAGAGGCACAAAGTAAGCACTCCATTAATGCTACCTATCATTATTATTATTACTGTTTTTTTTTTGTTTTTTTTTTTTTTTTTTTTTAGTAGAGACGGGGTTTCACCGTGTTAGCCAGGATGGTCTCAATCTCCTGACCTCGTGATCCGCCCGTCTCGGCCTCCCAAAGTGCTGGGATTACAGGCTTGAGCCACCGCGCCCCGCCTCATTATTTTTTTAATTAAAAAAATAGAGATGGGGTCTCCTTATGTTGCTCAGGCTGGTCTTGAACTTCTGGGCTCAAGCAATTCTCCCATCTCGGCCTCCCAAAGTGTTGGGATTACAGGCGTGAGCCACTGCGTCCGGCCATCTACCGTACCTATCATTATATTACGATTCATTCAGGAACTTTTTTTAGTAGAGATGGGGTTTCACCGTGTTAGCCAGGATGGTCTCAATCTCCTGACCTCGTGATCCGCCCGTCTCGGCCTCCCAAAGTGCTGGGATTACAGGCTTGAGCCACCGCGCCCAGCCTCATTATTTTTTTAATTAAAAAAATAGAGATGGTGGCCGGGCATGGTGGTTCACACCTGTAATTCCAGAACTTTGGGAGCCTGATGTGGGCAGATCACCTGAGGTCAGGAGTTCGAGACCAGCCTGGCCAACATGGAGAAACTCCGTTTTTACTAAAATTACAAAAATTAGCTGGGCGTGGTGGTGCGCACCTGTAGTCCCAGTTATTGGGGAGTCTGAGGTGGGAGAATCACTTGAACCCCAGAGGTGGAGGTTGCAATGAGCCGAGATCATGCCACTGCACTCCAGCCTGGGCGACAAAGTGAAACTCCGTCTCAAAAACAAACAAACAAACAACAGATGGGGAGTGTCTCACTGTGTTGCTCAGGCTGGTCTTGAACTTCTGGGCTCAAGCAATTCTCCCATCTCGGCCTCCCAAAGTGTTGGGATTACAGGCGTGAGCCACTGCGTCCGGCCATCTACCGTACCTATCATTATATTACGATTCATTCAGGAACCCACGAGATCTCTCCCGCAACGGCCCCGCTGCTCACCGGGCTGCAGACGAGTGCATCGCGGTACCCTCCGAAGAGGAGGGCCTGGACTTTGAGGAAGAGACGGGACACCCCTTCCCCGGGGGCCAGGGCGACCTTCCTGAGTCGGAGCCTCAGCAGGGACACCTGAAGCACAAGGGAGTGGCCCTGAGTGGGCAGGTGTGGGGCCCTCGCCTCCCGGGGCAGGAAGGTGGGAGGGGCGACACTGACCACGTCTGGAGGCAGCGCCTGCACATCGTTAAATGTTGTCTCCAAAGTATTGGCGTCGACGTTCAGCACCACGACGTCCTCCAGAGCTTTTTCTCGTACTCTCTGCGGAAAAGCGGGGCCGGCGGCTCAGAGTCCGAGAGTCCTTGGCAGAGGAGGGCATCTGGGGATATAGAGGGAGGGGGAACCCTCACATCCCCGCCGTCTGGGTGGATACGCGCTCACCTCGGCGAGACTGGCGTGCACTCCAATGAGGTAGGGCATGGGCGCGCTGCGGACCGAGGGGACGGGGTCATGCAGGCACCGCCTCCAGGGCCTGCCCCCAGGCCCGGCCCCTCCCAGCTTCCCTCGCTCACCAGCAGTAGTCCAGCAGGTGTGGGGGCAGCGTGGGGATCAGCACGTGCTCCCAGCGCATGGGGTACAGGAGCGCGCAGGACGCGTGGACGCACGAGGTCAGCTGGGGGGCGATGGCGGGGCGTGAAGTCATGGCCTGGACCCTCTGGCGCGGGGGTCTCTTCCAGCTGCATTTCCCACGTCCCCAGTCTCCTGTTCCCCCTTCCCATCCACTGCTGGGTAATGAGTGACAACTCGAACCCCTTTAGAAATCATGTGGCGACCAGGAATTTGGCCACTTAACAGTGCTTTAAGCAGGTGAAGCCAGGACTCATCCCGTCCTGATCCCTCTCTCTAAGGGGCGCAGTTAATAGGCAACACCCCTGAGTCTTCCCGCACGCAGGTGGAGCAAGGACTGAGCCTCCACGCACTCCACCCCGAAATAGGTGGAGCTATGATGTAGCCCGCCCTTGTCCCGCCCCTAGGGGTGGAGCCACGACCTAACCCCACCCAAAGAGGTGGAGCTGGAATGCAATCATTCGGCCCCGCCCCTAGGGGTGGAGCCAGTCTCCGCCTCTGCCTTTGACCCTGGGTCTCGGGGTCCCTGGCAGTATGGGTCTCTAGTTGTTATCTGAGTCCCTGTGTTCCTAGGTCCCTGGGTCCCTGGATCTCTGAGTCCCTGAGTCCCTGGGTCCCTGGGTCCCCATGTGTATAGGTCCCTAGTTCTCAGTGTACCTGAGGGTCCGGAGGGGTGGAGCTAGACCTGTTGTGGCCCATAGTAGGTGGAGCCTGAGCGCAGTACTCCCAAAAAAGAGGAGCTGAAAGCAGCCCCCTCCCACGAGGGCGGGGCCAGAATTCAACTCTCCGAGACCTTCGAAGGGGCGGGGCCAGGGCTTCGCCCTCAGGTCTCGCGCATTCGGGTTAGAGTCAGGAATCAGCCCCCGTTGTCCCGCCCCCAGGGGCGGAGCCAGACCCTGCTCCCACCCCGGCCCGGCGGGCCCCGCCTCACTGTGCTGAGTTTGCTGGCAGTGAGCAGGACTCTTCTCTCCGCCAGGAGCGCCGCGAACAGCGCCACGATGTTCTCGTCAGTAACGGCCACCACCAGCTCCGTTAGGTTCCTCTGAGGATCAGAGAGGTGCGCTGGGCGTGGACTGGCCCCTGGATCTTGCATCCCCGGTCCGGGTTTCGGGACCTGTTCCCATCCCCAGAGACCCCTCCCGGGTCCCCACTCACGTTCTCAGGGATGGATGGCAGGCGGCCGGAGTCCGGGGCCACGAAGCAGGACAGCTGGTGGGGGTATTGGCAGGGGGATCAATCAGTCAGGAGGCTGGCCTCACCTGGATCCCCGACCTTCCAGGGTCCCCGAGCCCCGCTCACCGGCTTGCTATTTCCCGGGGTAGGGGGCAGGATACCCTGCCCGCTGGAGACGGTCACTCCGCTGCCCTGGGGAAGAGGCGCGATTCTGTGGTCATCAGGTCTGGGGCGCAGCCTTCCCATCCATCTAAGGTCCAGCGCCCAGGGAATGGGAGCTACTCACCAGCTCCAGCCCCACTGAGGCCTGGGGCCCAGACAGGGACTGCTGAAACAGATTTTGAAGAAGTTCCTCTGCCTCGGAGACCTGGGTGGGACGTGGAGGGGCAGGGGTGGCTGAGCCAGATGTGGGGATTGGGGATTCCGAGGGCTCTGAGTAAGCTTGAGTGGTCTCGGAGGAGCCAAGGGCTCAGGTCAGGCCTGGGAGGTTTTTTTTTTTTATTTCTTTAAAAGAAATTTAATAATAATAATAATAGAGACAAGGTCTAATAGAGACCAGCCCAGGCTGGTCTTGAACTCCTGGGCTCAAGGGATCCTCCTGCTTCGGCCTCCCAAAGGGCTACAATTACAGGCGTGAGCCACCGCGTCTGGCTTTTAAAATTTTTTAATTTAAATGTTTTCTTGTAGGCCGGGCGTGGTGGCTCACGCCTGTAATCCCAACCCTTTGGGAGGCTGAGGTGTGTAGATTACCTGAGGCCAGGAGCCCATGACCAGCCTGGCCAACATGGTGAAACCAAGTCTCTATTAAAAGTACAAAAAAAAAAAAAAAATTAGCTCGGCTGGTGGGCCAGGGTCTTGCTCTGTGTCCCAGGCTGGAGTGCAGTGCTGTGATCATAGCTAACCATAGTTTCAAACTCCTGGGCTCAGGCGATCCTCCCACCTTGCTCTCCTGAGTAGCTGGGACCACAGGTGTGCGCCACCACGTCTGGCTAATTTTTCTTTTTCTTTTTTTTTTCTTTTTGAGACGGAGTTTCGCTCTTGTTGCCCAAGCTGGAGTGCAATGGCGTGATCTCAGCTCACTGCAACTTCTGCCCCCCCGGGTTCAAGCGATTCTCCTGCCTCAGTCTACGAGCAGCTGGGATTACGGGCATGTGCCACCACACCCGGCTAATTTTTTTTTTTGGTATTTTTAGTAGAGACGGGGTTTCACCATCTTGGTTAGGCCGGTCTCGAACTCCTGACCTCAGGTTATCTGCTCACCTCTTCCTCCCAAAGTGCTGGGATTACAGGTGTGAGCCACCGAACTCGGCCAATTTTTTAAAAGATTGTAGAGGCAGGGTTCTCACTATGTTTCCCAGCTGGTCTCAAACTCCTGGGCTCAAGCGATTCTCCCACCTCAGCCTCCCAAAATGCTGGGACTGCAGGTGTGACACAGTGTGCCCTGCTAGGCCTGGGAGATCTGAAAGGGAGGGGTTGGGAGGTTGGGGGGTGGGGGCTGGGGCTCCCACAGGAGTGAGAGAGGGGCTGGTCTCACCTGGTCCTGGGCTAGGAGGTCTCCCACTGTGTTCAGTAGCTTGTAAAACACCTCGAACCAGGGCAAGTGGCTGTGGATAGAGGAGACAAGTTCCATGAAGTGTCCCTAGGCCTCGGCCTTTCCCATCCCCCCCGCATCCAACCCCCATATCCCGCACCTGAGGATGCAGAGACAGCTCTGGGTACCCGCCCGCAAGCGGCAGAAACCAAATCTGCGGTTGCCGGCAAGGTCTGTGAGGGCGAAGGTGAAATGCTGCACGACGGGGCTGGGGGGCTCCCTGGAGTGGGAAGGGCTGTTAGAGAGACCTGGACATCCCAGCTGTCTCAGGATGTCCCCCCTCCCCAGCAAAGTTCCTGGAATCCTGAGTATATGAGTCTCTAGTTGTCAGGATCCCTGCAAGCCTGGGTCCCTGGTCTCAGAATCCCTGGGTCCCTGAATCTCTGGGTCCCTGGATCTCTGGGTCCCTAGGTCCCTGGATCTCTGAGTCCCTGAGTCCCTGAGTCCCTGGGTCCCTGAATCTCTGAGTCCCTGGATCTCTGGGTCCCTGAGTCCCTGAGTCCCTGGGTCCCTGAATCTCTGGGTCCCTGGATCTTTTTGGTCCCTGGATCTCTGGGTCCCTGAGTCCCTGGGTCCTTGAGTCCCTAGGTCCCTGGGTTCCTGAGTCCCTGAGTCCCTGGGTCCCTGGGTCCTTAGGTCCCTGAGTCCCTGGGTCCCTGGGTCCCTGGGTTCCTGAGTCCCTGGGTCCCTGAGTTTCTGAGTCTTTGGGTTCCTGAGTCCTTGGATCCCTTAATCCCTGTGTCCCTGAGTCCCTGAGTCCCTGAATCCTTAAGTCCTTGAGTCCCTGAGTCTCTGGGTCCCTGTGTCCCTGAGTCCCTGAATCCTTGAGTCCCCGAGTCCCTGAGTCTCTGGGTCCCTGGGTTCCTGAGTCCCTGAATCTGTGTGTCCCTGAGTCCCTGGGTCCCTGGGTCCCTGAGTCCCTGAGTCCCTGCATTCCTGAGTCCCTGAATCTCTATGTCTCTGAGTCCCTGGGTCCCTGAGTCCCTGAGTCCCTAGATTCCCTAGATTCCTGAGTCCCTGAATCTGTTTCTGAGTCCCTGAGCTCCTGGGTCCCTGGGTCCCTGGGTTCCTAGGTTCTTGAGTCCCTGGGTCCCTGGGTTCCTGAGTACCTGGATCTCTGGGTCCCTGAGTGTCTGAATCCCTGGATGCTAATGCATATAGGTCCCTAGTTCTCAGGGCTCCTGAGTGCCTGAGCCTTTGAGTCTCAGGGTCCTCGAGTGTATGGGTTTCCAGATGTCTGAGTCTCTAGGTGTTGAGTCCTTGGGGCCCCTGAGAGATCTGAGTCCCTGAGTCCTTGGATCTCCCCGCCCTTTCGTACCTTTCCACATCAAAAGGGAAGCAGAATTTAGGCACCATCTGCATAGCTTCCTGGAGATGAAGAAAAGTGCAGACTGCTTGGTCACTGAGGTTGGGCACCGCCTCCCTAGGCTCCAGGTCCAAGAAACAGAGTCCCCTCCCCCTGGGGGACGGGCCCTGGCCCTGGGGGAGCAAGGAGCCAGCTTGAATACCTGGTCCCTGAAGTCTGGAGGGAACTGCCGCAGGATGGGGGGATCTGTAGAAGAGAGCAGGCCTCTAAGTTCAGTGACCCAGGCCCACCCTCCCCTCCCACTCCCTCACTCCCAGGCTCCCAACTCACCCTCCTGCAGGGAGGCGGGGCAGGCCGCTTCGAAGAACCAATCAAACACGGCAGGGGCGCCCCCTCTGTGGGATGCAGAAGGGATCCAGAGACTTGCTTCTAGGCACGTGTGGTTGTGTCTGCCACTTTGCACACAAGCGTGGTTGTGTGTGCCTGTGCCACAAGGTGCATCGGCATGTGCATGACTCTGGGGCTCTGTGGCTGTGAGTGCGTGGTTGTGTGAGGCTGTGTGTGCAGCAGTGTTAATGGTGCACACAAGTACGGGATGGAGTGAGAAAGTGTGGCTGTGTGCGTGTGGCTGTGTGTGATTGTGTGTGGCTGAGTGCGTGGCTTGTGTGAGCAGGCAGTGAGTGTGTGTGTGATCCTGTCTGCTGTCTGCCTGAAAAGATGAGACTGTCCCCTGTATCTGTGGGGTGGGACTGGGGGGGATATAAAGGACAGCCTGTGCAGTCTAAAGCTAAGTGAATGACATCTATCTATCTATCTATCTATCTATCTATCTATCTATCTATCTAATTTTTTTGAGATGGAGTTTTGCTCTTGTCACCCAGACTGGGGTGCCGTGGCACAATCTTGGCTCACTGCAACCTCCGCCCCACCCAGGAGGTTCAAGCGATTCTCCTGCCTCAGCCTCCCTGTAGCTGGGATTACAGGTGCCTACCATTATGCCCAGCTAATTTTTGTATTTTTAGTAGAGACAGGGTTTCACCATGTTGGCCAGGCTGGTCTCGAACTCCTGACCTCAGGCGATCTGCCCACCTTGACCTCCCAAAGTGCTGGGATTACAGGCATGAGCCACTGCATCTAGCCACGACATCTGTATTTTCTTGTATAGATGTGAGTGTGTGTGCCCGAGCAAGTGAATGACGTCTATATTTTCCTGTACAGCTATGAACGTCGCTGGGTAACTGCGTGGGATCCTTGTGGGCTGTCTGTGTGTCTCTGTGTGAGAGACCCCATAGAACCCTGGTGGCTGATCCCACATTCCTCATCAGAGGAAGGAGGGCAGGATACCTAGGTACTTACTGTAAGCCCTGCAATCTCTGCTTTCCTCCTCTGCCCCCATATCAAGCAGAAGATGCAGCCTTGGGCTCAAGGAGAGAGACAGGAGATCTGGAGGGAGATCAGCTACAGACACACCGTCCTGCCCAGTTGCACACACAGTCTCTGCCATGGGGCACCCCAGCACTTCACCCTCATGCTGACACAAGTCACACACGATCACCCACTCATACGAACACCCAGCCTCCTCTCTGCCCTGATCGCCCCCCGTGGGACCCCCCTGAAGCCATCACTCAGATATACCAAGGACAAAGCTCAGAGGGGTACATGCATCCACAGAGCTACAGACATAATCACAGGAGCTGAATATAGAGAGAGAGACAGGAGGGGACCGAGAGTGGCCCGTCCCAGAGTGGAGGTCATAGCGGAGGCCCGCGGAGTATCTGATTCCAGCCACCTGCCCCTCCAGGTCACTGCACCTCCCTGGCCTGCTCCAGCCCCAGCTCCCCTCTGCGCCGGCTCAGGCCTGGCCTGGGAATCTTGTACCAGAGAATGAGGGATGGGGAGACTCTTACTCAGCTCTGGATTCCATGGTCCCTGCAGGGCCAGCCCAGCGGGGCCCTCTCCCCAGGGGTCCTGGGGGCCTGCGTTTGCTGGGCCCCAAGCCGGCTCAGCTTCCTGTGTGGCTGAGAGAGGAAGTTTAACGGGTGACGTCCCCGGACAGAGGCCCTGCCCCCACCCCCTGTGAGAAACCCAGGCATCCTGCCTGCTAATTATGTTGGGGATGGGTGGGCAATAAGTAGTCAGCTTGGGAAGGCAGACCCCCAGGTCCGTCCCCGCCAGGCTGGACTGTGTCTGGTCCCCCGTATCGTGCCTCGGCCCTTGTCTCTCCTTCCCCGCTCCGCAGCAGCCAAGATTCAAAATCTGTCTATTAATAAAATGCCTCCCCGTCTCTTAACTCTTTTTTCCTTGGTCCATTTGGCCTGGATGGTCACTGGTGGACCACCAGAGGGAGCCACCTGTAAAGTGGATGGTGGGGGTACCAGGGACGGGGACAAAGAGCACAAAGTACAGGCACAAGGACAGACAGACAGACACGGACATTTACACACTGAGGAAGTCACCAGTACAGACAGACCGAGTCCAGAACAGCCAGAGACGACAGACATGGAGAGATAGGGAGTCCTATAGCCGGATCATGGTCCCAGGCCGGGCACAGTGGCTCATGTCTATAATCCCAGCACTTTGAGAGGCTGAGGTGGGAGGATCACTTGAGCTCAGGAGTTCGAGACCAGACTGGGAAACATGGCGAAACTCCGTGTCAACCAAAAACTACAAAAATTATAGCTGGGTGTGGTGGCACATACCTGTAGTCCCAGCTTACTCAGGAGTAAGGCCGGGTGCGGTGGCTCACACCTGTGATCCCAGCACTTTGGGAGGCTGAGGCGGGCAGATCACCTGAGGTCAGGAGAGCGAGACCATCCTGGCTAACACGGTGAAACCCCGTCTCTACTAAAAATACAAAAAATTAGCCGGGTGTGGTGGCGGGCGCCTGTAGTCCCAGCTGCTCTGGAGGCTGAGTTAGGAGAATGGCATGAACCCGGGAGGCGGAGCTTGCAGTGAGCCGAGATTGTGCCACTGCACTCCAGCCTGGGCGACAGAGTGAGACTCTACCTCGAAAGAAAAAAAACTTTTTTTTGTAGAGATGGGGTTTCGCTTTATTTCCTGGTCTGGTCTTGAACTTCTGGACTCCAGCAATCCCCTGGCCTTGGTCTTCCAAAGTGAATGGGATTACAAGTGTGAGCTACTGTGCCCAGCCTGTTTTTATTTTTTATTTTTAATTATTATTTTAAGAGATAGGGTCTCCCTCTCTCTGTCTCCTAGACTGGAGAGCAGTGGTACCATTATAGCTCAATGCAACTTCTAACTCCTTAGCTCAAGTGAGCCTCCCACCTCAGCCTCTTGAGCAACTAGGATTATAGACACAGCCACCACACATGGTTAATTTTGTTGTTGTTTTTTGAGACGGAGTTTCACTCTTGTTGCCCAGGCTGGAGTGCAATGGCACGATCTTGGCTCACTGCAACCTCCGCCTCCCTGGTTCAAGCGATTCTCCTGCCTCAGCCTCCCTAGTAGCTGAGATTATAGGCACCCATCACCATGTCCGGCTTATTTTTGTATTTTTAGTAGAGACAGAGTTTCACCATGTGGCCCGGCTGGTCTGGAACTCCTGATCTGAGGTGGTCCACCCACCTCAGCCTCCCGAAGTGCTGGGATTACAGGTGTGAGCCACGGCACCTAGCTTTTTTATTTTTATTTTTTTTTTTTTTTTTAGAGACAGGGTCTCCATCTGTTGCCCTGGCTGGAGTGCAGTGGTGCGATCATAGCTCACTGTCGTCTGGAGCTCCTGGGCTCATGTTATCCTCCCATCCCAGCCTTCCAGGGAGCTAGGACTACAGCAACGTGCCATCACACCCAGCTAACTTCTTAGAACAATTTTCATAGAGACAGCGTCTTGCTATGTTGCCTAGGGTGGTCTCAAACTCCTGGCCTCAAGTGATCTTCGTGCTTCAGCCTCCCAAAGTCCTGGGATTACGGGTGTGAGCTACAGTACCTGGCCGAGTCAGTAGCATTAATCTTCAAATCTCTCTCACTTGCTGGGACTCTGCTTTCGTCCTCACTTCTTCTCTGACTCTGATCCTCTGTCTCCCTCTTATAAAGACCCTTGTGATTATATTGGACCCACCCAAATAATTTGCCATAATCCTCTTATCTTAAAATCCTTTACTTTTCCTGGCATGGTGGCTCACGCCTGTAATCCTGGCACTTAGCGAGGCTGAGGCTTGAGGTCAGAAGTTCAAGACCAGCCTGGGCAATATATCAAGATCCCGTCTCTACAAAAAAATCTAAAAAATATCCGGGTGCAGGCCAGGTGCGGCGGCTCACGCCTGTAATCCCAACACTTTGGGAGACTGAGGTGGGTGGATCACCTGAGGCCAGCAGTTCAAGACCAGTCTGGCCAACATAGTGAAACCCTGTCCCTACTAAAAATACAGAAATTATCCAGGTGTGGTGGCGCATGCCTATAATCACAGCTATTCGGGAGGTTGAGGTGGGAGAATCGCTTGAACCTGGGAGGTGGAGGTGGCAGTGAGCTGAGATCATGCCATGGCACTCCAGCCTGGGCGACAGAGTCTGACTCCATCTCAAAAAAAAAAAAAAATAGGCCGGGCGCGGTGGCTCAAGCCTGTAATATCAGCACTTTGGGAGGCCGAGACGGGCGGATCATGAGGTCAGGAGATCGAGACCATCCTGACTAACATGGTGAAACCCCGTCTCTACTGAAAAATACAAAAAACTAGCCGGGCGAAGTGGTGGACGGCTGTAGTCCCAGCTATTCGGGAGGCTGAGGCAGGAGAATGGCGTAAACCC